GTGATGTAAAGCCCATCAATATTTGATGAATTGCAAGCATTTTTTATAATGTCGTGTTCCTGATCTCTCCAAAAGGATCTGGTATACCGTACTAAAATTCTAAAAGATGGCTTTTTTTCTCTGGTTTTGCAAGATTTAGACTTTTTCATAATCTTTCGATCTTGATGGAAACATGTAAAAAAAAAAACATGTAGAAAAAAAATTGATGGGTGATTTAATTCGATAAGCTCAGAAGAGCTTTGTCAAGATCTTCAGCTTTTGCATCAGTCTACATATCTTCTTATCAGGATAACTTTGGCACACTATACGACAGCTAAAGAAAAGCAGTTTTTTTCATGTAATGGCATGATTTATCACTTCAAAATACTCTAAAGTTGTATCTTCTTGAACTCTCTGTAGAGCACGTCTGTTAGTGTTTAGTCAGACTTCTCAGAAAATGGCAGATACATCGGTGTCCGTATCTTTCACGATTATGTTGAATTAAGCCGGATGCTTGGAAATTTTATTTGTTTCCTTTCTCGTAAAGTAAAAATCTTGTTAGCACGAGGTAACAGTAATGTCTAGAAAAATCTTACGGATAAATCAATAGTTGCAAATTCAGAACATTGCCTACGTCATGTCTACACGATCTATCTTTCTCCAAACATCACTCTCTTTTCAGCGGATTTTCGGCCATTCAGGAAACGATATTCCGTGTGATAAGAAAAAGACATCGTTGTAACGTGGATGGAAAAACCAACCTTATCGCAAGATAAGCCAATCAGTGAATTATCGGTCAAAATGTTTTATCTCGAAAGAGACATGTCAAACGTGCTCTGAGTGGTTGTTGTTCTTTTTGTGTGTGTGTCGTTGAAGTTGTCGCTTCTATGAACTTAGACTTTAACCAATTAGATAGGATATAATATGGATGGCTAAGGATATCGAGAAGATCGACGCGGGTTATTACTAAGGAACTTGGAAAATGTGAGCCAACATTTTCAACAGGCGTAAAGGGCGGCGGTACCGGTGTTTTTTAAATAATTGCTAACCACTGTTGTCAAGGTTGCCAAGAAACTGGGTCGAGTGCATCATGACGAGTCTTTTGGTAAACTTCGAAACAGAAATTCTGTAAAGCGACAAACTAGTCCTGCGAATTCCCGGTGCCCCCACCCCTCCCCCAAAACAAAAAAAAAGCTTTTTTTTTTCTGCTCAGCTCTTATAGTAGAAAGCCTCTCAGAAACAAATCAAACCATGAAAGCAGATTTTGTTTGCTTTTGCGTTAGTTATGCCAAAAGTTAACCAGTGAGTCTCGATTTGATGATTGACACTCAAATCCAAACAGTTATTGCAACGTGATATATTATCGTTGAATGGAAGTGCGTATAGTTTTAACGGGAGTGAATCCTTTGTGAAGCCTCAAAAATCTTCACTAAACCTTACACGTGACAATGGTCGTTTAAGTTGAAGTATTTCCGATTTTTTCTCAATTCAGTTATTCTGTAAGGAATACCCACGTGTAAACCAAAGCATAACGTATTGAAACAGTTGTCATGATTACCGGGATCATTTAGTATACAAGGAAAAACGGGAGATTGGGCGCAAGCCATCTTTTTGCGAAGAAAACTAAAGATCAAAATAAACCAAAGAGGAAAAAAATGACTAATTGAAGATGATTAAGACTATTGTCTGAAACAAAGTATTTGATGATGCTTGAACCGAGACAGTTATTGGTCTGGCAGCAAATTTATCATCCTTTTAACTGAGGTGTCCTATCTGTATGATCTTCAGTCCGGGGGATATAGTAACCCCACCACTAATAAGACTAAAAACAAAAGATCTTTGACCCTTTTGCTGACGTAAACCGAAAAGCTCATGGGGGTTACTCCTCTCTCTTATAAAAGGAGGTCTTGCTAGGACGGAAGAATTTCGGAGTCGATGGAGCAAACTGAGGAGGGCAGGAAAAGAACCAACCAGGTACGGACAGGGTTTTGTCAAGATTTTTTCTTCGTCAAGAATCACTGTCCTCTCTTCATTCTTACTTATAGTTTCGAATACTATTTGAACCTCATCCTAACAGTGTAGAAGGACGCAAATTCGCTCAACCACTTACAAAACATCAAATCACTTAGCTTATTGTGAAAATAGTCGTTTAATATGTACACAAATAACAAAGTCCGGCGGTACGGCAATCTAAATTAGTTTATAGAGACAGAGAAACTTTGTTTGTGGCTGGAGCTAACCAAATCTTCACGGTGGATTCAATTTCATTTGCTGTACTAAAACGTGCTTCACATCTTTTATTTATTTGTCCAACGACCTCAAAATCAAACGTCTTGGACATTATTTACAATCCGTCTCCAAACAGGACGCTTTTGACATCAATGATACCCGCAGCATGTAGGACGCGTGTTGGATGTGAAACCGGAATATAGTCTAGCTACCCTGCGAGTTTGCTTTAGCCTGGTGGATACCGAAATACTTATGGTACAACTGCGAAATCAGAGCTAGCTGGCCTGGGAGTTTCAATACGGTAGACGTGAGGTTTTTTTTTTGCTCGTAACAAAGTAAAATTTTTCTCAAGTTGGAGATGGTGTATGGAGGCGTTTCGCTATTTTCTTCAAGTTCTAAACTTTTCGACGTCATTTATTGCTGATCAATAAGTGTGAGGTACTCTACCATTTTAGGCCACTTTCTTTACAACTCTATTTTGACTTTTTTTTCACTAAGAATCTGTAGGAGGCTGTTGTAATAAGATACTAGCAAACTCAGTCCTGCATATACGATTCAAAATAGTTCAAAGTTCATTATGAATGATAATAAGCGAAAATTTAGTTGAGTTTGGAAAACGGTCCTTAAGTCCCGAGAATAGGATTACTGAGCGTCACAAAAGTGGTTGATTCCTTCACGAAATTAGAGTGATGCTGAGACTGACGATAAAACACTTCAATTCTCTTTCTTTTCGTCCTACGTGACAGCTAATGCTCTCGGTAATCTCTAGAAGGAACGTATGATTAAAAAAGGGCGAAATCCCCCCCAAACTAAAAACACTTGAACTTGTATCTTTGTGGTTTAAGCTGCTTGTTTTCGCTGCTTGTTTTTATTTTTCCTTCAGTGAGAAGAAAAACTAGGTCCTGTGTATCTAAATAGAACATTACGTAACCACGAACACACGGTTTTTCCTTCATCCAGTTTTGAACTCCAGTGAAATACAGCTAACACTTTTTCTCCGCCATTTCGGATTTGACGTTCGAGTTTCTCTTTTCATATATTCACTTTATCCAGCATCGTGTCTATTTATTTTCATTTGGCATAGATGAGGAATTTGACTCGAGTTACCCCCTGGTGGTTTATTTGTAGGTCACGTAATAGTCAAGGGAAGTTTTTGCAAAAACAAACACGTCGAGACTACCTTAATTTGTACAATTTTCATTTTTTTCACGGAGTGCTGCGGTAAAGTCGGCGGTTAGACCGAGTCACGCGGTTTGGCTTAAAGCGACTTCCTGTCACGCGAAATAGCTCCACCACGTGTTAATTAGACAAATTTGTCTCTTGTAGATGTAGAAGCCAGGGGAATAGGATGTTAGTTGTTTTAAGTGATAGTAAATTGTGTTATTACCCATCTTTCATCATCTTTCTCCTTGGTTAAGGTTTGGCAGGAAGCCGTAAATTGTCTCAGCCACAAGGTCGGGAGTTCATTGAAGTACTAATCTGCGAGAGGAAGGATTCTTTTCACACCAAGAAAATCATAGTTACCATGGCACTGATGATGACGATGCCAAAAATGTTTTTATATCTAAATATATATATCTATACACGTATAGATATGTCTTTTTAAATTTTTAAATTTTTTTGTTGCTTGAAAACTCCTGTGTAGTAACCTTGTGAGTTCGATATCCCCGCGTTTAAAAGCACTGAAAGAAAAAGAAATTAACTGTTTTGGATCACCGTTAGTTTCCCTTGGTGGTGTGCGTTTCACTCTTATAAAGCATGATAGCTGCCTTCTGTAATGACGCCGAGCCAATGTTTTTCATAAGTAACGACATAAAAACCCCGGTGGGTCCAGGTGAATCACATTTGTCAAATTTTATCTTCTTGTAATTAGCTAATTATCTTCGGATGATGTCCTTTGTTTTTGACCGCCATAGATGCTTACCGTATGCGGCATGCGTCTCTGTTTAGATGCGTTTTAATCTTGCCTTTACATATGCTTCTCTTCCTTTTCTTTTCTTCACAGCTTAATACAACGGTAAAAAAAAAGTTTTCTTGCCTGGGTCTGCAAGCCTTGGTGTTGATCCTATCGACGACAAGACGTTGAAGCATTTAGAACTTCGTGTCGAATTTACCCTTTGAGGATCTTATGCCAGTGATCGATAAGAACTATAATTGGCAACGTTCAAAATGGTTGATAGAGATTCTGATCGAACTGAACCTTAAGTTGGTACTGGATTTTCACCGTCAGAAAAATCGACCTGCTCTGATATGATAAATAAGTTATATATGTCTAGACCTAATCCTATTTCTTCGTATAAAATAAGTCAAGTGATTTAAAGCCATCTGTGCTCACCAAAAGCGACAAAGCAATATCTGATAGCCCTTGCACTGATTATCACTGGAAGCGTCGCCAATCAATCGGTAATTCTCTGAAGGCGAGCAATCAACAAATGAATTATTTGCATAACACATTTTGATCGGCAAACAATAATGCGAAAATTACACCGCACCCTAAGGGCTTGCGATATGAACAACGTGCGCGATTTCCGTTTCCTGTGGTTAACCCCATGTCAATCAAAATACCCCTACGTGCAAAGCCGAAATTTCGTCCTGTTTCAGCAATCGAAAGTCGTTTTCTTTCATTTGCAGCGAGTTTAAATTTCGCTGCGTCGACGTTTAGCTACACACTTTGAGCGTGCAGTTACTAATTAGGCTCACCTCAGAAGATCATTTGTGTCATGATCGGCTGACAAATAGCCTAATTTACAATCAACAGAAACAATATCTATCTGTTTACTTTATCGCCTTAGGAGAGATATACGGGGCATAAAAGTCGTGTGCTGTAATCTGGGAGGATTATTCACCGGTGACGTACAGAAAGGAAAGGAAAACGCTTGGAGCGCGGAAGATTTGTTTGACAACTCGCTGAAAAATGGGAGATCGTGGCAACAAGGTTCTACATCTCATGTCACTGGTATTCTTATTACTCTCTGTGGTGAAAATAGAGATGGTATATGGAAATAGCGGCATTTTAAATGCCATGAAAGCCGCTGAGGCCGAAGAGGAAAAGCACCGCTCTGACTGCGCTTCAAAGCGACGTGTCAAACGCCATGATCACGCACGGTTTCCACAATCTCCACCGACAGGGTCGAAATTTGGAAATGCTCTGAGTTTACTTGATGACGCAGTCGTGCGATTTACAGGATCCGTCAAAATACCATCGCATCAGTTTACAGTAGACTTTTGGATGAGACCCGAAGGTGGGCAGGTATCGCCAGTGACAGTCCTCGGCCTGTTTGACGATTGTTCGCTGGACAAAAATGACGGTGGTTGGGCGATAGGCCTGGAGGAGGCGAGTACTGAGCGAAGCCTGAGAGTCTTTTTTAGACTACGAACGCAAAGATCAGATAACGACACGAAACTGTTTTCTCCGCGCAGCGTGGAACCAAACGTATGGCTTCATGTTGCAGCAACATTCAATGGAAAGAAAATGAAATTGTACATAAATCAAGCCAAAGTGGGAGTATCTTCAGAACAAAGCGGACACATTTTCGCCGACGGCTTCGACTCGTACCCCTGTGAACACTTAGAGGCGGGTGGCGATCGCTCAACCGGAGTGTTTTATCGTGGTCTAATCGATGAGATTCGGCTGTGGTCAATTGCGAAATCGCACAAGGAAATCATCAAGAATGTTTTTGCCCCAATTAGAGATGACGAGCCATACCTCGATGATGTCCATCTTGCAATGTACGAAAGCTTCGCTCAAAAGGAAGAGCTCAATCGCAATCCGAAGACCAGATGGGTGGCTGTTACTGGCAAACCGGACATTTTAAAGTCAACAATTCCAGGCGATGCCAACGATTTTTCGGTCGTTAAGCCCCCGTGTGGTGTAACAGTTTGCGACAATCCCGAGATTATCCGCAGTTATGACAAAAATAAGCACCTGCGAGGTAAAAAGCTTGTGCGATATCGAGTTGTTAACATAATGGATGATGACGGCACAAATCCTATGGTGACCAAGAAACAGTTGAAAGCGCAGCACACTCATCTAAACCGAGCTTTCAAGCGCTACAACATCACATTCGAACTCAGCGAATGGAACATCCGAAATACCTCCTTACGACGGCGCACGGTGACCTACCAGTGCGAACGCGAAAAGATCGGTGATTCGAATTGCAATCACCAGCATTGCAAATATGAAATTACGGGAAATGACGGCGGCGACTGCGATGATTACAAAGTCAGATGTGACGCCAAAAAGCGCGGGAACGGTATTTGCGACAAAGAATGCAACAAGTTCTACAACGCATGGGATGATGGCGATTGTTGTAACGAGAGTGTGACCAATATTTATAAAAACTGCTTCGATCCCAGTTCTCCAAACAGAGCTTACATGAGTGAGAGAGAGTACAAGACTCTGGTTAATCTGGACAATCAAGATTATCTGAACGTTTACTTGGCTCAATGGAGTAATGACGACTTGCAGGGCCTTGCCACTTTTCCTTGGGACAAGTCTGTGCATAGCATATATGGTGGCACCATTCTGGGCCTTAAGAATTTCGGACGCAAACAGCATTTAGACGCCCTTGTTCACGAGTTTGGTCACATGTTAGGCTTGTGGCATGTGCATTATGGCGTGACTGACTTAGATTGCACAGATGATTGTGCAGAGACTTTCCCGTCACTCGAGCTGGGTGATTTATGCTCTGACACTAATCCCACCCCAGCTAACAACCAGTGTCGAGATCCCGTAGTTAAGAAATCGGACAGGACGTGCGGTGTCAGGAAGTTCTTAGACACTCCTTTCTCAAACTACATGAGTTACACAGACGACTCTTGCACCAATTCGTTCACAGAACAGCAAGTGGCTCGAATGCATTGCTACATTGATTTGATCCATCAGTCATGGCAGGGCGCCATGACACCACCTTCGTTCATTCCCATTCCTCCGCGTGTAACGTCTAAAACGAAGGATACCGTCAAGCTGACCTGGATTCCACCGCTAGGCGTTGGTGGAGGAAACGCACTCAAGGGTTGCCATGAGTGCCGCGAGGACAAAGTATTTCAGCAATATGCTGTAAGTGCGTGGAGTCCCTGTCCCTCTCGTCCCAATGGATATTGGGCTCCGCATCAGGCCATTGGTGCTCCTGACGTAGCTAAGCCTTGCATCATGAGTGTCGTGGGATGGAGTCCCTTCCGTACGAAGTGCTCTGAAACGTTTATCGAGTTTGGATTCAAGGAAGCTGTCATTCCAACTAAATTATCTGTATGGGTGTTGTTTTCCTCTAAGGATGGAATTACCGACATACAGTTAACCTTTGCGGATGGTTCAGAATTGTCTCTGGGGCACTTTACAGCTCAGTGTGATGCCCCCCTTACAATTCCTTTAGCACCTTACAGATTAACCAAGAAGATTTCAAATATTCGAATCTACCTGAAGAAGGAAATTTCCACTGTTATTGATGCCATTCAGGTAACCTCGTCTGTCGATCATCCAAACTGCCTCAAGTGTGACCCCATGAAGTACTTGGTGACTCGAGATCCTCCCTTTCCATTAGGCACCCCAGAGCGCGTGGCCACCACCCAGTTTGAAGACAGGTACTTAAACTTTGTCAGGAGTCCTAATTCATTAGCCCCTTGGAGTAATTAATGTATTTATTACATCCATTTTGAAATCACTGGTTATTCTAGTAGTCTGATTGGCTCTCATTGCTACAATTTATTCACGAATCCTCCCATTTTTTTTTGCTCTAGATCGCATCTTTTTCCCAGACAATAAGGAAGCTTTGCTAAATAGAATACAACAACCAATCGCTTGCTTAAAGAAACCAATCAAACGTCAGGAAAACGAACAACGACTTTTGCAACTTTCTACAAACCGATTTACAACTGGATCAACAAAAAACTTGTGTAGACTAAAAATCCTGTGTCTGAGCGACTGAATTTTGTGATTTCAAAATGGATGTAACAAATTAGTAATTAAACTTCGTGTCGTGCAAATTTAGTCCGAAATAATTCTTGTTATTTCAGATCCAACTCGCGCTGCGAAGGGATTCTCATTTTATCAATACTAAATTATCGCAAATAAAGTTTAAAGCAGTGTACGGTAGATAATATGGAGAGCTATCGAAACGACTTTGGAAATGAAAGGGCTAAGCAAACAGATAATGAGATGATTGTTTGATAATAAGTAAGGTAGATGAGCGTAATGGTCTTACGAATTTTAAGGAGTGACCTTATTTATTTGGGGCAATACTATCTGATGTTACACAGCACGATTATTTTCTTTCTTGCCCCATGTGGGAAGAAACGTGTTGAAGTACCTTTGATTGCAAGGGCATTATTTAAATCATTTCTGAAATAGGTAAATGATGAATTTTCAATGGCGGATGATGTAAAACTAACTGAGACAAGGACTGACGAGGAAGAGATTTGTATTCAATTATGCACTCGGTCATATTTTTTTCCTTCCTTAGATACCTAGAACCAGGACAGAAATACACCTACACGGTTCAAGCTGAAACAAGTCAAGGTCTTCTAGGTCCACCCTCCCCTCCCTTGCTGTACTTGCCAAAGCAAGGCTTCTGCGGAGACGGCAGAGTGGACAAAAGTATTGGAGAAGAGTGCGATGACGGAAACCTTCGGGATGCCGATGGCTGTAACATGCAGTGTAAGAAAGAAGACGTCTTTCATTGCACAGGTAAGTAAGAATAATAATAATAATAATAATAATAATAATAATAATAATTTAATATTTGTATTGCGCAAATTAACATGTGGATATGATCAAATGCGCATCACAACACTTTTCGGGGGACTTTGGCCAGACTGCATCAGCAGTTTATAAACAATCGAAGGAAACTTATTTGAAGATGCCCCCTCCCCCCAATTCCCAGTAAACAGGCCAGACCACATCACAGTAATCTCGAGAGTGGGTTCTTTAACGTCCCCTGCCTAACTAAATTAACTAATTAATAGATGGAGGAGACGGGAATGCAGAATCAACGTACATTTTCTCCAGTTTGGATGGTATGTCAAAAAAGCATGCTAATGAGGATAAGAACTAAAGATTCCGTTTTTACTTACATAATGGAAAAATTTTTAAATCAAGTGGAGGAGAATGTTTGTGAGTCGGCTAATCAGCGCACGCGTAAAGTACTGTACCATGGTTTGGCATAAGTACGTTTGTGTTATAAAATACTCTTCAGTGTTCATACTATTCATATCATAACTTGCGTTTAACTTGCCTGCAGTGCCGGCGTATTTTGGGCGCACGAGTGCATATTTTCGTATTAGGCCGCCATCTTAGATTTGGTAACTGCGGAGGCTTGGGGTGAGGAAATATTAGCCAAGGGAGTAGGTGTTAAGTGGAAAAATGGGCGTTTAACAGGTCGCGGTTCAAAATCCATCTTTCATCTAGGGCTGACTTGAGAGTCTGTTATCGTATTTATCCACAGATTAGTTCAGATTTCCGAAAATAGAGGTGACCCTTTTATCGAAAGCTTGCTATTGAGTAATGGCATAGTGATACACAATCTAGCCTGTCAAGCAGTTCTTTCCTTTCCTCCTGAATCATCTCCTCTTGAAAACTATCACGTACTTCCTTCAACGAACGTATCATTTGCTTTTTGCTTGCCGTTTGATTGCTGAGATTGTCAGGGTGTGATTGATCATAATCTTGGACACGGTACCAGCAAGAGACTATCAAAACATAAGGGCTGGGTAAAACAATTTCATAAGCTCTTTTCAAGAAAGAATGCTTTGAATTTTCCGACCCTGAGTATTTTTCCGGCTTGAGGAGTAAACACTTAACATTAACCGTTTCCTTGATTTTTCCGATTTCTCGGCGACTAAGTGATCGTGTTCTGACATTTGAAGAAAACTTAACGACCTCGAGTTGATATTTTGCCAAAAATTAAATTGTGTTCGAGGTGAATCGCAACACTCGACTTTGAGCTCAAGGTGGCTGGAGTGGCTTGGAGCATCTAACGGTGGGTTTTACGGCAACGATACGCTCGAAAGGGGGCTTTGTTCTGAGCAAGAGGCATAGAAAGGCCAGGGCCTTCAGGATCTGAGCTGAAGAAAAGAGTAAGGAAAAGTGCAATTGAGCTTTGAACTTTGCGGAAAAGTCTTCGAGTGTGAAATCGCATTACGTTAATTGGTGGACGGATTTTCGCCGCCCTTTTTATGGCATTTAAACGAAGCCTAATCTTTGCTTGTCAATGCTGATAAAAATAACAAGATATCATATTTATGAGATAATCCCAAAATCTTCTGTTTTGATAACATTCTGTCCACCCTTATCATTTGAAGTGGAAACACGTTAAAATTAGTTGCTGACTCTTCCAAAAGAGGAAGCGCAGCAGGCTTTGCTTTTAAGCCTTGAAAAAGGAATCTATTTTTCTTCCCTTCCATTCAAGTTGGCCCTTCGCTATAAGTAGAGGCTAGGCACCTAATCATCCTCTGCTAGCTAGAGTCCCTTCTTGTCTGATGGGTTAATTGAATTGAATTGAACTGAGATCTTTAAGTTCATATAAGCCCGTATTCAGGGGAACTGAAACTCGAAATAAGAATTATGCCAGAATAACAAAACAAGCCAATAAGAAGCTTAGATAAGGATCACAGAAGAATTTTTGTGGGATTTTACATGGAATGAATATATGTGCCGAGATGCAACAAATCGTTATCTCTACTAATTTCAAGAGTTAATCACTGCAAAAATAAAGAAGAAGAAGAAGAAGAAGAAGAAGAAGAAAAAAAACAAACACAGAAACCACGAAGCTGCAAAAGAAAAATGATAATCTGCACTCTGATATGTGATCTCAAGATTTGCGAATTGAAAGCTATTTTTATTTTTTCAGTTGAATCCATCAGGTATCGTTTACCAGGATTTTTCCTGGCGACTTTATGTCAAGTTCTTATTATCGTTTGTATGCCCTTGATTTGTGCCAGTTGTTGCACTCTGTCTGTTTGCTCTTCATTTTCTTAGAATTACACAAAAGATTTTGGGAAGAGCATAACTCTGGAATATGTATAAGAATGAAACATAATCCAGTATTATAAATGGTTGAAATGAATCCTTTCCGGCTTTTAGCGTTTGCTATTGACGACGTTTTTGATTGGCTAAAGGCATGCACACACTGTTCGAAACCAACACGGTGGTCTTCAGGCATTCAGTTCACAAGTGATGACAAAGGTGTATTTTCTGTAGCTGGCAGTTTTGTGTGCGCCAACTGATGGGTAGCGAAGCTGCGAGCGAAAAAGTCCGTCACCCGTCCCAGATATCTAGCCCCTTATTGCTTTAGTGCACACCAAAGTGCCAGCCTCTGAGGTTACAAAGGTTTCGTCCGTGATGTTCTTAGACATTGTCGTTTGATAAATTTGGAACTGTTTCGAAAAATTTAAAAAATTCAGCGCTGGAGTACTCTGCACGACCATTTTTTGCTGCCTGGACTTTGACCCACCCTTTCAGCTTAAGTTGGCCAAATGTTTCCACTATTTGACTTCCGAAATGTAAATTTTATATAAAAATGTTAAATAGAGAGGTAGCCAGAAATAGTTTAAACCGGGACGTTACTGGTACTGGCCGAAGAAGTGGGAGCTAGCGATCCCGGGAGAGGTTTGGAACTAAATCTCTGAATCAAAGTAAACGCTTTAAAAAAAAAAAGCCAACAAATTATACATCAGGTAATCATGTTTAAAGGCAACAAAACATTCAGCCCGATGACAAGCTAACGATGCAATGTATCCAGGGGCAATTAGTTGATTTTGGAAGCGAAAAGCTTAAGAGTTGTGATTAAAATTTACAGAATGACCAGATTAACTCCTCAGCTCAACTTGTCTGACAAAGAATCATTATATTTAGCATTTGTCCAGAGACGTTGCATACTTGCCATGCATCTAGTGATTAGTATTTTATAATCGGATGAAAGAAAAAAACTTACTCGGTTGAATACCTCCACACAGTAATAAATGGAACTGCACGCGGGGAAGCGTTATGCCCCACACAGTGATGGATCGACTTAAAGATGTGTGCAAAGCCACTTGTAGGGATATGCTTAGAAGAGGTTCTAGCAAAAGAAGCTCTAATTTTAGCCTTGAACTCTCCAGTTTATTCCCCAGTGTCCTCGAGTTCTCTCGTGTGGTAAAATAAGTAAATCAATATGTAAATCAATAAGTAAATCAACCTATGCACCCACCCCTCCCTTAGGCAAACAACAGTTAACTGATAACAAGTTAGGGTTAATGTTGGTTAACGGAAGGGGGGGT